TAGTATTTATAACAGAACAAAAACTGCAATATTTAAACACTGTGACCTACTCAAAATAATACTTGCTGTAGCAAAAAGTGATGTAATTCCATTAATTCAGATGCACAAGTTCTAAAATGTAGCCAATTTTTATAGATAGTTGGACTTCTTAGACTATAATTTAAGGCTTTGAATAAACTTTAATAACATAGCAATTTTATTTTATGATCACCAAATCTAAATTATGAATAACTCACCTAGTATGTAAAAATCAGTTACAGGAAGTTGGAGCATCTCTAGGCTCTCCAGGAAGACAATCACTGAGTATATTCTAAGAATTACTGAATTACTAAATAATTTTTGCAGTTCCTTCCACTTCAGAAAGTCTTTGGATTCAAGATATCCAACGTGAATTAGAATCCTAAAGATTTTCTCAATTGAGAGTCTTTATACACTCAACAAAGATTTATATACATTTTTTAAATTGTTATTCTCTTCTAAAAAGCCATTTATAAAATCATTTTAATACAATATAAGATTTTGCCCTCTAATAAAGCTTACGAAGCAGTTTCCTTTGCTTCAAGAGATAAAGGAAATAATAATTCAGAAATGCTTCAAAAAACAGAGTGACTATCCTTAAGGTAAGGAACATATTCAATTTTTTTAATCTAGAAGGATATTTCACTGCTTTAGTCTACTTCAGTCTAGTCATAAAAATTTTACGTTTTAAAGCATTTTAAATTTATTATTTGTTTGTTTATTTAACTTTAAGTTCTGGGGTACATGTGCAGATTGTGCAGGTTTGTTACATAGGTATACACGTGCCATGGTGGTGGTTTGCTGCATTTTCAGCAGTAAATTTCTAGAGTGAAAAATTGTAAACTTTCAAAAGATGGTTTAAGACATATTAAAAAGTATTCTCGTGCTCTGTGGCATAAAAGTATCACATATAGACAGGCAGACTTAATATATACCTTTTAGTAACTGCCATCTAAGACAAAAAGCACTACTAGAAAAACAGAACCATATGCAACTAGAACAACAAATGAGCATATGTGTTTTTAAAAAATATAGTATTGGCCAGGCACAGTAGCTCATGCCTGTAATCCCAGCAATTGCCTGAGGTCAGGAATTCAAGACCAGTCTGGCCAACATGGTGAAACCCCATCTCTACTAAAAATACAAAAAAATTAGTCAGATGTGGTGGCTTGTGTCTGTAATCCTGGCTACACAGGAGGCTGAAGCAGGGGAATTGCTTGAACCAGGGAGGTGGAGGTTGCAGTGAACTGAGATGGCACCACTGCACTCCACTGCATTCCAGCCTGGGCAACAGAGCCAGACTCCATCTCAAAAAAAAAAAAAAAAAAGTATTATGTGCAAGAAGGAAATCAAATTAATAATGAAGTCAGATTTTTTCACAACCTCACACCAAGATCACTTTAACAGTCTCTTTTTTTTTCCCCGAGACAGCGTTTCACTCTTGTTGCGCAGGCTGGAGTGCAATGGCACAATCTTGGCTCACTGCAACCTCCATCTCCCAGATTCAAGCGATTTTCACGTCTCAGCCTCCCAGGTAGCTGGGATTACAGGTGCCTGCCATCACATCCAGCTAATTTTTGTATTTTCAGTACAGATGGGGTTTCGTCATGTTGGTCAGGCTGGTTTTGAACTTCTGACCTCAGGTGATCCATCTGTCTCAGCCTCCCAAAGTGCTGAGATTACAGGTGTGAGTCACTGCACCCGGCCTTGTAATAGTCTCTTAATAGTCACTCCTCCAAATAATTTTATACTGTTTTCAGATTCATCTACATAAAAATACTCAATAAGAAACCATTACTTGCAGAATTAAGTTCAAAATCCCTGATCTAGCACTCAAAGCCTTGCATAAACTGGGTCTCTATCAGGCACATCAATCATCATTCCTCTGAACATCGCTCGCTTCCTTCCATCCTACCTTATTTTTTAATACTAATTATAATCTGAATAAACTGGGCAATTAATTCCCTGCTTAGCCTTGTCTGCTGGTATTCTCTCATCTGGCATGCTTTCCTTGCTCATTTTTCAATCCTATTATCCCTACGTTCACATGCAATTCAAAGTTTATGTTCTCCTAAGAAAGCTTCTCCAACTACTCCAGTCTAGAGCAACCATTCAATCTTCATAGGCTTCTCCTGACTTTTAATTATTTATCTTTTTGGAGAGAAGGCTTAATAGTTACATTAACAATAAAAATAGTTGCTTTTTCAGTATTAATGGTTAATATTGTAGCAAAGTTAAAAAAAATAGTTGCTTTTATTTAACAGATTTACAATATGTATAGCCTTCTAATAGGCACTCTATAGACATGTTTTCTCACTTAATATTGAAAATAACTTTGGGAGATAGATAGCACAATTATCTCTATTTATAAGGAAACTGAAAACCTGAAAAATGTATTACCCAGGTCATACAACTCAGTGACAGAGCTCAGATTTTAACATGTAGCTAAGTGTCTTACAGAGCCCACATTCTTATCCACTTTTCCCAGATCTAAACACTAACTAGCATAGGCCAAGTAGTTCAAAGAGGGTATTTTATAGTTCACTCAAAAGTGGACCTCGATGTTAGTTTCAAATAAACATTTCAGTAGTTCACACTGAAATTAACTGGTATCTCTCTAAAATTAGCTACCATCTTTGATAGAAGAAACCTAATGAAAAAGAAAAGAAAAACTGGTCTCACGACTTTTTTATTTCATGAGATGGAGTTTCACTCTTGTTAACCAGGCTGGTGGTGCAATCTCAGCTCACTGGAACCTCCACCTCCCGGGTTCAAGCAATTCTCCTGCCTCAGCCTCCACAGTAGCTGGGATTACAGGCACCCATCATCACCATGCCTGGCTAATTTTTTGTATTTTAAGTAGAGACAGGGTTTCATCATGTTGGCCAGGTTGCCTGGAACTCCTGGCCTCAGGTGATCCACCCGCCTCAGCCTCCAAAGTGCTGGGATTACAGGTGTAAACCACCATACCTGGTCACTACTTTCTAAACAACTTAACTTTTCAACAAAATTTGGAATAGAAAATGACTAAAACTTTATTACTTCAGCCCAAAGAATCTGGTAATAAAATGTAGTAACATTTACTTATATACATACTTTGAAAGATAACAACATTTAAGAAACTCTATTCAGAAACATAGGTATGCAGTTAACATCTTAGTAGTAAAGTATTCAGAGACAGATTTCAGTTCTATCACTTAAGCTGTGGAGCCTTAAAGAAGATAATTAATCACCCTGAGCCTATTTCCCTATCTGTAAAAGGAGGATAAAGAAATATCTACCTTTAATAGCTGTTATGAGGACAGTCTAACAAAACATATACTTAAAAACAGCAACTGTAGTTATTACTGATATTTTTAGCTTCACTAAAAGACCAAAAGTATTTGAGTTGAAAAAACCTGAGACAGTCCATTAGTTTTGTTTTGTTATGCTTTTAGAGGTAAGATTTATGGTAAAATAAACATTAAGTTCTACAGACAAGGCTTAATCTTAACTTTCCTTCCGAAATTATAGTAAAAATAAGGTAACTTACCAATCATTTTCCATTCAAATCAACATGACAACAGCCTTCTTCATAAGCCAAGTTATTCCCATACCCATTTTATTCTCTACTAACAACTTATTTTAAAGTTCAACTTTTTTTGATCATTTAAGAACCCATAACAAGACTGAACCAGAAATCCGAGAAAGGCTGGGACCAAGTTAATACAAGTCAGCAAAACTGCATTTTGCTATCAATCATTAAGACTGTTCCTACACTGGAGCCTGAACAAAGGACATTCACTAAATTAAAATTTACAAACACCTCAATGTAATAGTGACTCTCAATTCCATAGTGATATGAAAGAAAAGTTGGCCTCTCCTTATTCCAACAATGTAAGTTTGTTAAAGAATCTACCACCTAACTAATGATAAAGCTACCAGCTGACTACATTTTACTGAAGGGGGCACCTTTACTCTAGGTAACAGAAACATTTCTAAGAGTCTATAAACCAATATATAATGGAGTCACTCAGAATGCAATAGGAGAATTGAAAATGAAATTATTCTGGAGGAAAGTCTTTTTGTACAGTGACAAAAAATGGCAAATCATCATTTAGTCCACCCTACTAGTGATTTTTTTTAAAATGTATTGGGTAAGGTATACTTTCCCGTCTACCTACTACTTGTTTAATTTCAGAATATAATTCAATTATGATCACAGGGCAGAAATGTTTATTACATCTTTATATTTTTATAAAAAGAATATATATGGCAACTGCTCCTATTTTAACTGTTTCATTCCCACTATTACTCATAGCTCCATGTGATATGAAATTTGGAGGCATTTAATTTCCTCAAATGTTAACATTCTCTTGATTTCACTTAAGACAAAGAGGTTTGGGGAGAAAGCAAATAATTATTTCAATATGTCTTTCACTATATGGCTGGAAGGATAGGTAAAACAGAAGGAGATGAAGCAGAAATATTAGAAAACTGGGTTGTGCTCCAACAAGCTTTAAGCTATCTGTAATTTTCTTTCTTTATTTTTTTTTTTTTAGAGACAGAGTCTGACTCTGTCGCCCAGGCTGGAGTGCAGAGGCACTATCTTCGCTCACTACAACCTCCACCTCCCGAATTCAAGCAATTGTCCTGCCTCGGCCTCTCGAGTAACTGAGAATACAGGCATGTGCCACCACATCTAGTTAATTTTTGTATTTTTAGTAGAAACAGGGTTTTGCCATGTTGCCCAGGCTGGTCTCAAACTCCTGAGTTCAGGTAATCCACCCACCTCAGTCTCTGAAAGTGCTAGGATTATAGGTGTGAGCCACCACGCCCAACTGGCTATCTGTAATTTTCATATCATTTAAACTAACTGTAATTCTCAAGGAATTAAAGCATTATTTTAGAAATATATTTTAAAAACAAAACCCTGGTTTACATCCAAACACTTCACAATTATAGATGATAGAATCTTACTATGTCATATTTGAACTACTCACCGAAGTTCTATCAGGTTCTCCGTCTGCCAAACTTCCCTCCATAATGAACCCAAATAGGTTTATGCTTCTCTTTCCATTAATGTGCAGTCATCCTGTAAAACTGCAAATCCTAGAATTAAAAAATCATATTTATTAGGACTGGTATAAAATTGTGACAAGTAGAAATAAAGCATTGAGTTTATTAGGAGGGAAACATTATTTTATTCTGAGGTTATTTGGAAATTCAATAATTAAAAACAACAAATTTTGACATGGGCTTGAAGATGGTAAAGTTTCAGAGAAAAATGAAAGAAGAAAAAAATATTTCAAATGAAGAAAATAGTAAGAGCATGGTTAAACATGAGATTGCCTAAAATTTGAAAGGATGTATAAATCTACTTACAACTAATGAAATAAATTAGTTTTTCTTTCTTACATTGGTAAAAACTAAAAAGTAGGCTAAAATCCAACATGGGAGAGAATGTGGGAAAATAGATATTCTCATGTGCTTTTGTTATGAGTATATAAATCAGGAAAATTTTTTTGACAATTAAAAAAATATATATTTTTATTCAGCAATTTCAAAACTAGAAATTTTCCCAGATATATAAATGCACAGAAATATATAAACAAATCCAATAAAGTAATAAATTTGATGAAAAAAACTAGAAACAACTTTAATGTTGATGACTAGAAGCTTCCTTGTACTACAGACATACAATAAAATATCATGCAGCAATTTAAAGAAATGAAGTAGATCTGTATATACTAAATGGTATATACAGTTTCCCACATGAGGTGGGAAACGTGAGTGACAGAACATTATATGTAAGATACTCTTTGTGCTTCTGTGTATTTCCATTTTTACCATGAATATGTATTACTTTTCTACAAGCATGCCTTGCTTTATTATAGTGCTTTGCTTTACTGCACAAAGAGATACTGCCTCTTTTAGCACCTTCATTTACAAAATGAAGATTGGTGACAAGCATGCAGAAATCAAGTCTATTGGTGCCATTTTCCAACAGTATGTGCTCACTTTGTGTCTCTGTGTCATAGCTTAGTAACTCTAAAATAATTCAGACCTATTCATTAAAATACCTGTATCACTGATCTGTGATCAGTAATCCTTGACATTACTATTGTAACCATTTTGGGGTGCTACAAACTGCAGCCATATAAAACAACTAACTTAAGTGATGAATGTATGTGGTTTTGACTGCTCCATCCACCTGCCAATCTCCCATTTCTCTTTCTCCGGGGGTGTCTCTATTCCACTCGACACAATAATATTGAAATAGTCCAATTAATAATATTATAATAGCCTCTAAGTGCTCAAGTAAAAGGAAGAGCCACATATTTCACTTTGAATCAAAAGCTAAAAATTATTAAGCTTAGTGAGAAAGGCATGTGAAAAGGAAGAAGCATGGCCTCTTACACCAAACGGTCACGTTGTGAATGCAAAGTAAAAGTTCTTGGAGGAAATGAGAAGTCCTATTCCAATGAACACACAAATGGTAAGAAAGCAAAACAGCCTTATTGCTGATATACAGGAAGTTTGAGTGATCTGGCTAGAATATCAGCCTTATGATACAGCAAGACCCTAACTATCTTCAATTCTATATAGGCTGAGAGGTGAGAAAGCTGCAGAAAATAAGTTTGAAACCAGCAGAGGTTAATTAATCAGGTTTAAGGAAAGAAGCCATCTCTATAACATCAAAATGCAAGGTGAAATACCAAGTACTACTTAGAGGAACTGCAGTAAGTTATCCAAAAGGACTGGGCGTGGTGGCTCATGCCTGTAATCCCAGGACTTTGAGAGGTCGAGGCGGGCAGATCATGAGGTCAAGAGATCAAGACCATCCTAGCCAACATGGTGAAACACCGTCTCTACTAAAACTACAAAAATTAGCTGGGCATGGTGGTGCACACCTGTATTCCCAGCTACTTGGGAGACTGAAGTAGGAGAATTGCTTGAAACTGGGAGACAGAGGTTGCAGTGAGCCAAGATTGCACCACTGCACTCCAGCCTGGGCAACAGAGCAAGGCTCTGTCTTAAAAAAAAAAAAAAGTAATCCAAAAGATCTAGTTAAGATCATCAATGAACACGGCTATACTAAACAACAGATTTTCAATATAGATGAAATAGCCTTCTATTAGAAGAGGTCATTAAGGACTTTCATAGCTAGAGAGGAGAAGTCAATGCTAGGCTTCAAAGCTGCCAAGGACAAACCGACTCTTGGTAGGGGCTAATGCAGCTGGTGACTTGAAGTTGAAGCCAATGCTCATTTACCATTCCAAAAATTCTAGCGCCCTTAAGAACTTATGCTTTATCTACTCTGTGCACTATAAATAAAACAACAAAGCCTGGATGATAGCACATCTGTTTACAGCATGGTTTACAAACATTTTAAGCTTAATGTTGAGACTACTGCTTAGAAAACAATATTCCTTTCAAAATATTAACAATCATTGACAATAAACTTTGTCACCCAAAAGTTCTGATGGAGATAAACAAAGAGATTAATGTTGTTTTCACCTCTGCTAACACATCTATTCTGCGGCCCATGAATCAAGGAGTAATTTTAACTTGCAAGTCTTATTACTTAAGAAATACATACAGTAAGGCCATAAGCTGCCAGAAATAATGTTTCCTCTGACGGATCTAAGCAAAGTTTGAAAACCTTATGGAAAAGATTCAACTTTCTAAATGTCACTAAGTACAGTTGTGATTCACAAGAGGTCATCAAAATATCAACATTAGCAGGAACTTGGAAGTTGATTCCAACCCTTAAGGATGACTTTGTGAGCTTCAAGACTTCAGTGCAGGAAGTCACTACTGATGTGGCGAAAACAACAAGAGAACTAGAATTAGAAGTGAGTCTGAAGATGTAACTGAAAGGCTGCAATCTTAAGACAAAATTTGAATGAATGAAGACTTACTTCTTATGGATGAACAAAGAAAGTGCTTTCTGAAGACAGAACCTACTCCTGGTGAAGATGCTGTGAACACTGCTGAAATTGACAGGGACAGGGGGCAGAAAATTCTAGGCAGGAAAGGATGAGTCCCTGGCAAAAGCTCCACCCTTAAGCCGAAAACTTGAAACCACAGACCGAAATGAGAACTTATATCCCTGTTTTTCTGCTTGAAGGTTGCCTTTTCCCAAACCACCCATGGTCCTGCCCTGCCCCACCCTATTTTGTACCTATAAAGACCCCTGACTCAGCCTGAAGAGAGAAGAAGGTGCCAGACACTGGGGACTACAGCTGGACATTGGAGAGAAGAGGTTTGACTTCAGAGAGACAGCCTGATGGCATAACTTCGGAGAAGAATCTAGTTGGAGAAGGCTGGGCTTCAGGGAAAAACCTGCCCCATCTCCTTTTTAGCTCCCCTTCCCACTGAGAGCCACATTCATAGCAATAAAATCCCTCACATTTATCATCTTTCAATTTGTTCATGTGGCCTCATTCTTCTTCATTGACAGTGGACAAGAGCTCGGAAGCACAAGTGCAGATACAAAAGACTGTCACACTGACCCCTTGCCCTCATCGGCAGAAGGCAGCCACCTCATGCAAAAAGGCAGAGGGCCCACTGAATTGTTGTTAACACTTAAGCTGCCCACAGACAGCAGAGCTAAAAGAGCACTGTAATATGCCCTCTGGGGCTTCAGGAGTCACAGGCACACCACCTGGACGCTGCTGCAGAGCCTGCATGAAGTTCACTCCTGCTGGTACCCAAAAGCACTCATTCTAGCTCCTGCACCTGATCACCTGCATACTCCCTCCTGCGAGGGGTGGAACACAGCAAGTCTAAGTGAGTGGAGTTTGATCCTGCCAACACTGAAATGGCCACCCAGTTCCAGCATTCTGTGATTAAAATCAATAGAAAACCATAACAATCCAATCTAGACAGGACTAGTAATTGTCCAGACTCTTCAGGAAAGAAACTTCAGGTCATTTGACTAAGTCAAAAACCATGACCAGTGGAGGTACTTGCTGAGGGTAAAAGAATACAGAAGGGAGAATGGAAGAGGATAGTTATAAATACCTGCGGCCGGGCGCGGTGGCTCAGGCCTGTAATCCCAGCGCTTTGGGAGGCCGAGGTGGGTGGATCATGAGGTCAAGAGATAGAGACCATCCTGGTCAACATGGTGAAACCCCGTCTCTACTAAAAATACAAAAATCAGCTGGGCATGGAGGCGCGTGCCTGTAATCCCAGCTACTCAGGAGGCCGACGCAGGAGAATTGCCTGAACCCATGAAGCGAAGGTTGCAGTGAGCTGAGATTGCGCCATTGCACTCCAGCCTGGGTAACAAGGGCGAAACTCCGTCTCATTAAAAAAAAAAAAAAAAAAAGTGTATAAATACCTGCTATAATTACGTAATCAGTTACAAAGACAAAAATTGTAATTTCTGGGAGTATTTCTTCCTTATTATTTTATGAATATGTTTATCTTTGTTTCCTTCCCTCTTATTCCTTTATCATGTAACATTATATTGCTTTATTTCATAGTATTTAAGTATTAACTCTACATTATAATAATCTACCGAAAAACAAGAAAAATGAACATCACTCAAGGACTTTACATTCTCTTCTGGGGAAAGAGCTGGTATATTTTACACAAGACAGTTGTATTGTTGGGTGGAAGCATGACCTTATTATTGTCTTTATTTGGAGATAAACTACTGTATTAACTTGCTAGAGTTGCCATAATAAAAGACCATAAATGTTCTGTTGTTGGCTTAAACAACAGAACATTATCTCCTCATAGGTCTGGAGGCTAGATGTCCAAGATCAAGATTTCAGCAGGTTTAGTTTCTTCGGAGGCCTTTCTCCTTAGCTTGTAGATGGCCATTTTCTCCCAGAGATTTCACATGGTCTTCCCTTTGCACATGTCTGTATCCAAATGTCCTCTTCTTATAAGGAGATCTGTCATACTGAATTAGGGCCCACCAATCAAACTGAATTAAGGCCCACCCTAATGACCTCATTTTAACTTAATTGTCTCATTAAAGATCCTATCTCCAAATACTGTCACATTCTGAGATGCTAGAAGTTCAAACTTCATTATGAATTTTAAGGAGATACAATTCAGCTTATAACAAGTATGTTTTTAAAGAGATATGGGTG